ATGACGCGAAAGTAGGACAGAAATATTGTCATTGCTGGAAAACGGAACCCTTTCCGTAGTGCCCCGCCAGATCCTAAATGAAGTACATGTTTTGGCAAGGCCTTTATCAACACAAACGATATGTATTCGATTGTGGAAAGTCGGTCTCACAAAGTATGTCCTTTTGAAACGATCTGCAGCAAAAGCCCGCCACCAGCAACTCAGGCGAATATGGTGCAGCAAGCGCCTAGAAGAGAACACTAGTTGGAATGACGTTATTTTACTGATGAGTCCCGTTTCCGTCTGTATAGAGATAGCGAACGCCGAAGACTCTACAGAGAACAGGAGATGCGTACAATGCCTCAGTTCGTGCTCCCTCCGGGGCAGTTTGGTGAAGGTGATCTGAGCTTGGATTTACACTGGAGGACGAACTGGACTCTGTATTGTTGAAGGCAACCTCACCGCAGTCCACTATGTCCATGAAATTATCGAGTAATAAATCCCTCAAACCAGGGTTCTCATTGGCAGTGATTTTCGATTTCTGTATGACAGTGTCAGACCTCATAGAGTTGGTCAGTTCATCAGTTCTTAGAAAACCTTGTGGGGTACCCTCAATACGACACACAGTAACGACACATCTACACTGAAAACAAACACTTTAAGCCCGAAGATGATCTCAATAAAGATCGAAACGTTAACACGATAAAGAAAATGTTTTTCTAAACCAACTTCACACCACACCGCATCTCCAAATAATCATTAATTAACTCACTAAACACCTCTCATAAAAAAAAATTAGCAATTTTTGATAGGGTGAATTACCTCCTCTTGCTCTTATTACACACTCTAATCTCAGCAAGTTCATAATTAAACGTTTAGCCACTTCTTGAATATTTTCATCCCAAATCTCAATTAACTTAACTTTCAGTTCATCTAAGGCTGTAGGAGGGTTAGTTCTTCTTTTTACCCAACGTCCGAGCTCGTCCCAAAATTTGGGTTCCAATCAGGAATACGGGCTGGGCGTCTTGTAAATGTTGACATCTTAAGCTGGGCGCACACTAGGTCGGTGGCGCGGCGCGGAACCGACCCCCAAGAAGAATACATTGAAATGAATGTAACCCCGAACACTAGGCCGGTAGGGGCGACGCGCAGCCGGAGGAAGTTGCCCGGCTCCGCGCCGCGCTACCGGCTAGTGTGCGCCGGGGAGGTCGAAAATCGTTGAGTTCGGGTATATTCGGCTGCTTATATACGTCATATTTGTAAAGACGAAGCCAACGATTGTGACGTGGAGACTCCTGGAAATGCAAAATCAACACTAAACAGCAGCGCTAGTCAGATGGAAGGGGAAAATTGGACCAACGCGGCCGAGAGCGGTTACTACATAGTTTGCGGACCTTCACAATTCCGCGCCGCCCACTGACCAAGTGTGCGTCCAACTTTAAAGATACTGCATTACAATGGCGGCGACAGTCGGTCTTGCATTTTCTTCATTTAAATAAAATTACTCGCCAATAAACGGAGTAAATGGCATTACATATTCCTCAAAAATTTCTGTCACCTAGGTTTCTGTATTATGTGATGTCCTATTAAAAATGTGTAATTCCACTTTTGCCTTCGAAGAAATTCCACTCCACACCATAACTGAACCACCTCCGAACGACCCTCTTGCATTGGCCGTAGAGCTCTATAGTGCTTGATAAACTCGAAGACATCCATCTACTGAACAGAGAGAAAACTGGGACTCGTCTAAAAACATAACAATACTTAATTACTGCTTCCGCCCAATGTCGGTGTCCCTTGCAAACAAGCGATCCCGACGATGGTCTCCTTCTTATTTTTCAACTCTAACGGACACATTCCGCACAGTTGGAAGTCCTTGAGACCTTTCAGAAGCAATGGAAAAGCGATGTCTCAGAGTGTAAAATCTGACAAATCGGTCGTCAGTTGGTCCCTTGGCTCTTGGGCGTCCCAATCCTGGTCTCCGGGTCCACCTTGTAATCTCGTGGTACCTCGCAATGCCCGACAACCGTCGTTTTAGGCATTTTTAAAACTCTTGCAGCGTAACGCTCATTTCTTCCATCCTCAACGAGTGCAATGACACGGGCAACTTGCCCACTGATTGTGTGCATATCTTGTTTTTAATTTTTTAATTTTACTTTTTTTGCCACCAGCACAATAGTGAATAAAGACATTTTTTAAGGATTAAATGCCCTCGTTGATGATTTAATTATGGCGATTTTAAAAAATTAAGCGGTTTTGCCGCACTATCGGCGACAAAAAAAAATACTTTCCGTCTAATTATAATTATTATATAATTTTTAAAGTAGTAAAACAAAAAATATGTCGAAAACTGACAAATTAAAAAAGAAATAAAAATTTCATAGTGCGCCACTTTTTTTGTGGAGTAGTGTATAATAATAAATAACATGTAAATAATAATAAAAATAAAAGCCGAAGATCGTGCGTACGAATCCCCCTCGTGACACTAACTTTTCATCTCAATCAAGAACTAGATTAAAATATCTTTAAAATAAGACAAATCAAAAGTTAAATATTATTTGATGTATTATTATATTTTTCATGTGTAACTTTATTATATACATATTCACATTTAATTTCAATGTAAAGTTACTCTTCTTTGTCTGTCTTTCTTTATGTTTGCTTTATTTACATATTATGTTGTATTAAACCGAACTTCTCTGTACGCCTTAATTGGCTATAACAGAGTAATTGTAAATAAATATAAATAATATTTCCCAGTAGGCCGGGAAGCGAGGAATAGTTTATTACGATATACAATAAAATATAAATATATTATATAAAGAAGAAAAAATCTAAAATTTGATGGTCATTATAAGACTCTTCCTTGATGACCCCGCACAATCCGGCTCCGAGTTCATGGGCACTCCGTGAGATAGGAGCACTTGCTATGACTTCATCGAGCTGCTCACTCCTCGTCCGACTGAAGTTTGTCAAAAAGCATTGAGAAAACTTGGCATCTCAATTAACCTTGGAGAAAAAGGTGATGGAAGCGAAATAGCTTCTGGTATTGATTGTTACGCCCCTGGTACTTATATCACAAAAAATTAATATCTCATTAATTACTTTTTAATTTTATTTCATATGCGTTTTAAACAAGGCTAACTTTAAAGGGCAACCTTTACACACAAAAACTGTACAAGTTGGGTGATTTTTAAGACAAAAGTATTTAAAATAAATGGTAATTTGTTTGGTGAAGTTTACCTAGTCCGTATAAAATATAAAAAAGAAAGTTTTTGTAAATATATTTTATATTGTCAAGTGGAACCCTACAATATTATAAATAGCAAAAGAATCCTACGAATTTTTAAAAAGGGTTTTCGTACAAACGAAGCGGGCGTACTACATGGGAACATTCTGGGACCTCTCCTTTGTTCAATATATGCTGCTGATTCTACCCTCCCATACACATTCCTCTTAAACTTAACACAGTTGGTCTCCTTTCATAAAAATCTCGCCCTTGCATTGAGAAAACATCCTATTTGCAGTATTGGTAAGTTTGTAGCGTTTTTCAAGTTAGATTTTTACCCTTCTTGTTTTTTGAAGCAATGTTTCTTTATTCATTATTGATTGCATATTCTAAAAAGGAGTAAGGTAAAGTGATTTTTTCGTCAGTTTTGTTCGAGATCTCGTAATTCTGGAAGGTGTTTTGGTTAATTAAAACATTATAATTAATTAAGGTTTTTAATTGAGATAAAAAAGTCAATGGCACGAGCGGGATTCGAACCCACGATCTTCGGCTTGATACGCCGCTGCTCTACCACTTGAGCTATCGTGACCTCGATCCACGCGGAGACCAACCTCCCATCTCAACCCCACCTTTTGAATTTTCCCTCCTTTTTGCCATTTTTCAAATGTCGTGTAATCGGATTGGATTCTTGACGACAAATGAAATGGCCACGGAGAGCTTTAGTGAAGTATACTTCATTTTCAATCATTAAATTCACTAATTTCGTCCGCTTGACCAATTAATATATTATAATTAATTAAGGTTTTTAGTTGAGATAAAAAAAAGTTGGCAAAAATGGCAAAAAGGAGGGAAAATTCAAAAGGTGCGGTTGAGATTGGAAGTTCGTGTCCGAGTGGATCGAGGTCACGATAGTTCAAGTGGTAGAGCAGCGGCGTATCAAGCCGAAGATCGTGGGTTCGAATCCCGCTCGTGCCATTGACTTTTTTATCTCAACTAAAAACCTTAATTAATTTTAATATATTAATTGGTCAAGCGGACCACGAAATTAGTGAAGTTAATTAAAACTTGCATAATGCTTATGGTGATGGAGTTTAAGAAGAAGTCCCCTATTAGTTTGCTCGATTCAGAAGCGGAAATTTTGATTTGGAAGATGCAAGTGCTCGGGTCGTCTTTCAGCCGTTGATGAAGACAAAATTCACACTTTTGTCACAAATAACCCGCACTCAGACATCGCAGACACTTATCTCATACAAACGCTTCAACAAATCGAGAGCAGGTGGATTTGTTTTTCGGGAAGATACAGATTCAGGAAATTTATTTAACCACTAACAGAAATTATAATACTGTGAGGTCAATTGTCTCTTTTATACGGTGCGTGTGTCGGTGTTAATTAGTATAACTATTGTTTTAATAATGGTAATGACCAAATTTAGAAGAAGCCTAGAACCAGTTTTACAAAAAAATACACGTTAAAAGAGATTTTCGGGTAAGCTCACATGAGTTTTAAGAGTTTAAATTTAAGACAATTCAGTTCCTCATCACTCCAAATATGTTATTAAACACAGGAAAATGTCTGATCGGAAGAAACCACCCTTTCAAACAAATGATAAATACTCTAATGAAGGACTTTTGTTAATTGAATACTCAGCAAAAAAAAAAATTATTCTGCTTTCAACTCATTGTCATAACATCGTAGTATTTCCTACAATAAAATTATGATTTCATTTTTTCATTCTGATATTGATTACTTTTCCATTGTGGCCATGTAATAATGTATGGATTTTTGTTCTAGGTTCTTGGCTATTTGGTGGCCTTTGAAATGCCAGATAACGACAAGACGGGCGAGAATGATGATCCTCGTTATTTGGGTGATAGCGCTGACCACGACGATCCCATGGGCGCTTTTCTTCGATTTGGTGGTGATATTCAGCGATGACCCAGACGTGAAGCTCTGCCTTGAAGTCTGGCCAGACTACCTCAACGGCTCGCTGTATTTTCTGATCGCAAACCTCCTTTTCTGCTATATCCTTCCCATGATCCTCATATCAATGTGCTATGTGCTGATCTGGATCAAGGTGTGCAAGAGGCACATCCCGAGCGACTCCAAAGACGCCCAAATGGAGAGGATGCAGCAGAAGAGCAAGGTGAAAGTCGTGAAAATGCTCGTCGTCGTCGTTATACTTTTCGTACTCTCTTGGCTACCTCTTTACCTCATATTCGCTAGAATAAAACTAGGCGGGGACTTCTCACAATGGGAAGACGAGATCCTGCCTGTGGCTACTCCGGTGGCTCAGTGGCTCGGCTCCTCCAACTCTTGCATAAACCCGATCTTGTACGCCTTCTTCAACAATAAATATAGAAGGGGATTCGCTGCCATTCTGAAAAGCAGAAAATGTTGCGGTACCCTCAGGTACTACGACACAGTCGTCCGAGCCAATTCTTCTTCGACCAGCCTGAGGAAGTCGTCCTATTATGTTACCAACAACAACAACAACAACAACTCCTCGACAAGGCGGCAACTGAGCCAAGATACGAACGTCTCTTACATTTCGAACAACACCGGGGTATAAAATCTTTGTCTGCCAAATAAATGGTTTGTCTTGTTTGGCTCTCTAGAGCAGTAACCTGCCGGTCGCACCATGCACCAGCACTGTAACAGGGTAACCCACGGTCCAACCGAATATTTGACAGGCTCAAATTTGGAGATTGCCCAAAGTCAAAGTATTTTATAAAAATTTACATATTAAAGACGATTTTAAGAGAATTTTTTATGGAACTAACTCCGTTTTCAGTTTTATTTTTTCTAATAATATTACTTTTAACGATATATAAATATGAAATAATTATATTTTTAACGATACTTCGCTCTTGTAATCTTAGCGCATAATCACAACTATTTTAAGTAGCACTGAATATATTTGTATTGCATTTTAAATTATGAAAAAAATTGTGTCACTTTTATATTCAAGATAAATTTTAACAAATGGTTATTTTAGGCCATGTGGGTTTGCACTTATCTTAAGGATTATTTTTATGCTAAATGCACATGTTTGATACCGTTTAAGAAGAAATATGGAGTTAGTTTTGACTACGATATCGTGATTTTTACGAAGAAAAAAAATCGATTTGGTAATTCACAGCTTTAAAGTCTTAGATAAACCGGCGGTCGATTTTTTGAAAAATCGAGCGCCGGTGATGTATTTTTGAACATTAGGTATCTGGTTATTTTTAAACATTTTTCATTCACGGAAACCTACACTTTATCTTAGTGAATGTATCAAATAGAAAATGATATTTGGAGGAAAACGAAATAATGAGGATGTATAAACTCTTTACTAGATTCTTATATAGTTTTATATATGACAATAAGTGTTTGTTTATTGGTTTAAAAACAAAAGTACACAACTTTTGGAAATATTAAAAAAATGTGACAAAACACATCGACGCATTAAGGTTCGTTTTTGCTTATTTATTACAGTGACAAGTGGTTTTACTTGACTCGTGGTTCACTGTGGACAGGAGTTACTTGAATGTACAAGATAAAATAAAAAGAGGGATAAAATATTTGTAATTTGTATAGTACATTGTAATTGTTATTGTGAATAAATTTTGGAAATCATAGTGCCCTTTGACAAGTGATCATAGTGTGATATTGCATCTTTTCTAACTTCTAGTTTTTAAAAATATCTTACTCAAATGATTAATATCGATTAATTCTAATGAAACTCATTTGTTTTGATTACTTCTTTTTATTAACTAGCATATTTCACAAATGAATTTGGCGATTCTTTTTCCAGGGGCTTAACCAATTTTATATATATAAATAAATGCATTAAACTTTTTCATAGCTAAAATTTTCTGTAGTCTGGTAAGAAATTGTATTCTTATTTTCCAAGGTATTTCTAAAAATGTTTCTGAATGAACCAGTGATCAAAAGTACTATAATTAGAGTGTAAAAGAATCAACATGTAATTTCAATGATGAGAATTCGTCCTAAGACCTGGTCTTAACCTGTAATTTGATCCATAAGAGGCAATTTGGCATTTTGCCATCTTCAGTGCAGTCCAAGAAGCACTGAAGATTGTGAAACACCGAAACACATCTGACAGAGGTTAGCCACGCCAAGATGATCAGTGACGATCAAATTAACCATATAACATGTCTTTATATCTGAAATTTGGCATCATCAAAGATGGAAGTCCAACCATAGTCGGAGTTTTTCTCACATGTTGTTCTTTAAATTAATAGATTATAATATTGGATGAGTTATGAATGAGTTATTTATGAATTTGTTTAGAGGGGCAATTTAAAGCTTGTGATTTTTGCTTCACACCTTTTGACCAATATCTCACAACCTTCAACAATTTGTTTTTAAAGAAAAAATAAAACCATTAAAATTTATTTGTGCATCAATTTTTATTTATTTATATTTATATTGGATTTTTGATAAAATTTTCTCAATATTAAAAATCCCTCTGCAATAAACAAATATTTTTTAAAAATCTAAATTTAATAATAATTAATTTCAACCACAAAGAAATAAATTGATTAAATGTCACAGTATGTTTTAACATATATAAAAAGTCTACTTGAAAGTTTTGTCCATTTTTAGAATAAAACAAAATAATAAATTTTTGATACCTTGAATAAATTTTATTGAATAATATAATTGCCATCATTATTTATGATTTCTTGCTAGCATGATGGTAATTTGAACATCCCATTTATAAATAATGCCTTATCCCTAGAGGTGAAAAATTGAACCAGTGCTTGTGTGTTATCTTCTTTGTAAGGATTCTTTGTACGAACAAAAACTAGTGATCAGAGGGTGCTAGGTCCGAGGAATATGATGGATCTCTGTGAGTTTCTGACAAGCAGTATGGCTTATCCAAGTACCCAAAGACCTGGCATTATCATGAAGCAGTATGATGTTCTTCCTATTGAACATCGCCGGCCTGTTTACTTGGAGTGCTGATTTTAAACTTTGTAATTATTAATTGCTGACAGTACTTCTCCGAATTTAGCTTTTCTTTCATTTTCAACAGCTTAAAGTGTATTGGTCCTCGACAAAATTCTCTTACTTTGGTTCAACTTAGGTTAAGAGGTGAAGGGGGAGGTTTTCCCGATTCACAATTTGCCCTTTTCCTTACATTGTTTTCATAGGTAATCACTTTTCATCCCCAGTTTTCAAACGGTCTAAGAAGGGGTCAAATTTGTTCCGTGCAAGCAGAGATGACTCGATCATTCAAATTTTTTTCACCTAACTCATGTGGCACCCATCTCGAATATTTTCACACCAATCCTAGTTTCCGAATATGATCCGAAATGGTTTGTTGAGCTGAATCAAGCCTTTCCGCAATCTCAGATGTAAAAAAAGGATTTTGTTGATCTTAACAGTATCGTCATCGATCAAGGATGCCCAGTGCATGGCTTATCAGAAAAGTCAAAATCACCTATTTGAAAATTTTCAAACCATCTTCTTCATGTTCTGCCAGAAGCTGTACCTTCATCACACACTTTCAATAAATTTCTTCATGCTTCTCTAGCATTTTTTCCCTGGTGGAATTGTTACTAAATACAGGGCTGTAAATGAACTTTATCAGTACCCATGGGTACACGATCTGTCTCATTTTGTACTAACATGAATCATCTTCGTTTTAGTTCATTTGCTAGGTCAGTATGTATACTTTCAGTAATAAAAAGAAAGAGCCAAATATGCGTCAACAAAAAAATGTCGCATACTTGTTGAAACTTGTTGTAACCGGAACGGACAGAACTTTCCAAAACACCTATTAATTACACAATTGCAATTATGATTGATGCTTGGATTGGATGCATTAACATTTAAATTTTATCTACCAAGTTTGAAGAATAAAAGATAGTCAATAATTCCATGTGTGTTTAAGAAAACTCCAGGCATAAAGTTAAACTTAACTTTCATCCCATGTTTATTTTAATTTTTAGAAATCTGTTTGTGGTAATTTAAGTTCTAGATATATATAATATATATAAATTGCTTAAACTTACTGTTGGATAGTTGTATGAGTTGATAATAATTATTTCTACGGTACATTTGAAACGTTTCAATATTAGTTCAGCATTTTTCAATGTTATGCTGTTTTTATTTTTTAAACATTTACATTGTTCAAAGTATAGCTAGATAGTAGTATAGATTATTTTCATTGTTAATATGTAATTTGATCCTTACCGATTCACGATCTGCCTATTCTTGCTGGGTTGATCTGTTAGATCCATTTCAGCCATTTTGCCATCTTCTGAGTGTTACACTGTTGCAATGTGCTTGCTAAGATTTAATTTATAGGTTCATCACCCAGCAGACCACAGGAGGAAATCTCATGATTTTTAATATGTGTATTCAATAAACTTTTTAAATGCCCCCCCCCAAACAAAAACGACTATCAAGTTTTACCTCAGCAATCATGGATATTTGGTTTTAGTGCGTTCTTATAAATGCACCATTAAAAGTAATATAAACATAATAAGGCATCACTTAACAAATTTAATATTAAAAAAGATGAAAGATGGTCAATAATGATGAAAAAAAGTTTTTGTGGAAAATTACAGGCACAGTAATAATAATAATAATAATAAATAATAATAATAATAATTAAAATAATATTTGATTTCCAATAGTATTAGGTACAGAATTTTATCTAGCAGGTTTACAGTTAATGATGAACTCAGTTTATCAGCCGAGTTGACACATTAACGTTCAATTAAGGAAAAAGTTCATTGTTCGGAATTAAGCGCATAGTTCTTATCATTGCTGGTCAAGCAAGGATGTGATGACTGAAAGTTGAATTATTTTATTAGGAAAAGTTCTGTATCTGCATGAATTTAGTTAGTAATGCCATTTAGTATTTTGTAAAGTTCATTCTCAGACAGAACTGTTTTTGTATCTGGTTCCAAATTCTTCAAATTCAGGACATCTAGATAGAAAGTGTAGCATACCTTCTTTTTCACGAGTTACGTAGAGCGCGAACATAAATGTTTGTAGTTCTTTCTGAAGGTATCTCTTGTACATGTAAAAAATTTATATTCAAAACATTCTGGATTTTTCATTTATGTACGAACAGATATTATTACAGAAGTGGAGGAGCTTGGTAAACTTTTTTTTCTCTCAAAACTTTGTTTACGATCCAACAATTATTTATCCTAATTTCGGTTCAATATTTTGAAACTTGTTGTAACTTAAACCAACGACGGTATCTGCTTTGATTTATACTCATAAAAATTCACTTCAAACTTTACACTGAAAAGTTGAAAACTTGAATTAATGATAACTGAAATTTATAAATTAACAATTATAAAAAATAACTGTTTCGCTGATTTTATTTAAAAACTATATAATGGATACTGCTTTGTATTGAGAAGTATTTCCATGTAACATTATTTGTGGCATTTCTTAATTATGGATTTTTTCTCGGGTCACTGGTGACTCCCTTTTTTTCTACTGCATCCTACAAGATATAATGTGAAATTGACTCTTCTTTATTTACATACTTTTGAGGTAATTGAGCACTTTCTGAGGCTCCTCTTTGCTAATTTCTCTAGGCTATTTTCTCCTTTCTGAAAATAATTTTAGAATTAATTGTTCATTGTTTTGTTGAATCATTGGCACCAGTTTTATATTAGTTTAAAGTAGTGTCTATTGTTTTCTCATCAACCTTAATTTAAATAATTATAGGGATTTTACAAATTCCTACCTTGATCCTTAACGATGCCCCTGG